TGTGTACTGTAGTTTGGTTATCTTGTGACAGCCTTCCCAACCTGAAGCATCTCTTACGATAAAACACGAAAGATACATGTATCACAGTCAAAATGATACTATCCCTAATTGAATATCACAGATGCCTACACACGCTCCCGCACCGTAGTTGTGGGGACATACATGTACACTCCATGTTTCACCTATTTTGTGGGGACCGAAAACATTGTGGGGATTCACAAATGTCCCCACAACTCAGTTCAAGTTTCCCTGACAAAAGAACTTGTCCTCCGAACCTGATGAATGCCAACCCACCTACACTCCATGTTTCACCTATTTTGTGGGGACCGAAAACGTTGTGGGGACTCACAAATGTCCCCACAACTCAGTACAAGTTTCCCTGACAAAAGAACTTGTCCTGAACCTGATGAATGCCAACCCACCTACACTCCATGTTTCACCTATTTTGTGGGGACCGAAAACGTTGTGGGGACTCACAAATGTCCCCACAACTCGGTTCAAGTTTCCCTGACAAAAGAACTTGTCCTCCGAACCTGGTGAATGCCAACCCACCTACATGTACCTGTACCCTGTTAAAAGCCCAGTATTCTTCAGGGGACAAAGAAAGAGTGAGATGGCCCATGGAGGAACATTTTTGTAAATTAACAAATTTGTTATACAGTTAAAGCAGAGGAGATTAACAAGACAACATGTGACCACATCAACCAACAATTTGGTTTCAAGGCCTACTGGTATATACATGTACACGTACATCCACCTTTTCAGTCCATTGCTAACATTGAAAATACAAAGTGGCGAAACTAACGGCCAATTTTCAGTGGTGATAGACCTTTCCCTCTCAGGATTCCAGACTGAGGCTTAATCTTACCCAGTGGGGTGTGGGGATGGAAACCCTTTAGGCTGCACAGCTCTTCATGGCCCTCTCCTTTGCCTACATGTAAATCATCCCCTCTGATTGACACTTCATTGATGTGGTTTCCATGGCAACGATCCCTCACAATAAATGACTGGGGGGGTCATCCTGGGTCAGTGGCCTCAGCAGGTGGCACCTCTTCCTTCTACATGCATGTACCACCGCCACCCTCCCCCCTTTTTTGGTCAATCCCAACTTGCTGACCTGCTGCTGTTTACTGGTACCGGTAGGTCAGTTGTAAAATTGTTCCCAGTGTTAGTTTTGCAGTGTTTTGAAAAGTACAGTACAGGTATGTATTGTAAATTTATGTCCTTTCCTTTCTATTATTAGACAGGCTGTCGGTCTGCCGATTTACAATGTACTGTACAGCCTTGTAAGTTTTCTGTTTGGCTTACGGTAGCCTCATACACACATTTATCAGCATTGACTTAATTTCTTAAACTACATCAGAAAGAACAGTATTTCTCTTTTATTATACATTTTATACATGTACATGTATGAAATGTATTTAAGAATTACATTTTAATGAATGTACAAGTACATGTAACATTTACATTTGTTTGTTGGTGTATCTACATGTAGGGAAGCATCATGCACCCCTTTTTTATGACTGTGAAATTAGCCTGCGTTGCTTGAATGTAAGGACTGGTTGATGAGTGCAAAAAAATCATTGAAATTACACATGTGCATGATAAACAGTAACGGACAGTTCCTTGTCCAAATGGAAATTATTCACGCTTCTACCAAACTTATTAATGCACTCGTACACTCTGTAGCACAGTTGCATGACTAAATGATTAAGTAATTGTGAGAATTTCTCTTCTTTTTTACTTTGTCGTCAGCCTACAGTCATTCCCTTGTTGCTCCTCCTGGGCATCCCCAATTAACTCATCTTAACCACATCTTCTCTCTCCTGCCCAACAATCGAAGCCCATTTCTTACCCGCTCTCCAGCCCAAGAGCCTCCCCCTTTCTTCAGAAGTGACCGGCATCCTGTTACCTGGACTGGCTCAATCTAGATTACTGCCAATTGCAGGTGGCAGTTTTTTTATTCTCCTCCTCAAAGCCTGTCCGGTCTCCCCGATGGTTAGGATTGGTGGCGGTAATACCGGGATCAGCGGTCTAATGAAGCGTGAATGTACCCAACATCCCTTAATCCCTCCTAGCCTTTGTGTGGCTAATTGGCATATTTTTTAACCGTGGCTCTTTTGCACCAGGGAGTTTCGTTACAGTCAGCAATGTAAAGGTGTTTACGAAACTTAGCACCGAACTTAGCACGTTTATAGATATTCTGTACATGTTCCATACACTCCATGGGTTTATGATAGCCACTGCATGGGGGAAGGGGAGGCCGGGAGGGAAGAGATAATCCTTCTGTGCTGTGGTTATACCATCCCTTAATTAGCATCCAGTAAATGTTAAACATCATTTGAAGCAAGATATGGGACGGAGCGAACCCCCCCGCCTTTGTGTTGGTCATTGTTTGATCGGAATCTCAGGAATTCTTTACAGACTTCTAGGGGGGGAATGTGTTAGGTAGCAATAGTCTAGAGTGTGTATAGGGTTTGGGCAGGTAAGGGGGGTACCCCTCCGTCCCATATCTTGCCTGGTGCATAAAACATGGACCTTGAAATTTTGGAATGGCATTTTGGGGGGATGGTAAAGTGATGAACCAGAACTTAATGTCTCTTGAGCCTAAAACACTCATCTTGTACTTTTGTAGGCCTACAAAGTACATTTTACTATGTAATTGAAACAGCAGGATAGGGAAGTAGCTGAGCACGCTGGTAGAGGTATTCTCGACAATTTTATCAAGTATAATTTGGTTTCCTTCCTCTCTTCTTTATTTTTTGTTTGGGGTGGCGTTGAGGAGGGAGGGATACCCTGTTTGGCTAAGACTGTTTGCAAAGACCTATGTGAGTGAGTGTTCCAATGGTATCTGTACATGAAAGATTTAAGCTACTTTCACCTTTGGGTGCAGACCTGTAGCAAATGATAATGGAAAAAGAAAATAAATTGTTGAGTACTAGTACATGAACCGGTACATGAGGTACACATCCCTGCAATGATGGTAAGGGCCTGCACAATTTGGAGAAATACATGCAGCACCATCTTTTTTTGGTATGGTTTTTTCTCTGCTTCAGTGCAGTTGACAGTATAAATCCGATTTACATTTTCTTCGATCCTTTGTAAAAGAAAACGTACAATGAAATCATTTCAAAATTGTTATCCGTTGTGATAATAAAGAACTGAATATTGGGTAATCTTGTTTTGGCCCAGTGTTATTAAGGCATGCTAAACTAAATCAGAAGGGACTTGCCCCGATACCCAATTTTGTGTAACAGACATTTAAACATACTGTACGTTATGAGTGACATGTACACGTGGTGACAAAAGTTGGTATGATGCCGTCGCCAGAACTAGTACCAGGAGGAACAAAAACAAACAGGCCTTCATTTGTGAAACTGGGTGGAGTCAGTCCTATTAACAAACTGTGCATGTTGGGGGTACATTGTAAAGTTGAGTCTTTTCTTGATGGATAAAATGGATGTTTTATTCACCGTAACTTGAAAAGGGTTGAATGCATGTACCCTGGAGCTCCATTGGTTGTACAGGTTATTGGGTAAAAAGTCCCAGAGACTGCTTATTTGATTTGGTTGCTGAGGTGCCCCTCTGGAATGTGAATACTTTCATTATTGGCTGTCATACACCAGGCAAGAGGAATCTTACTCCTCACAGGTCAAAAGGCCGCCCGGTATTTATTCACTGAATGAAGGCAGGGCCGCATTTTGTAGACTGGCAACCTGTCCCGAAAAGTGTAGTTTAGTCAGCTGATTTAGAGCAGTGATTTTAAGACATAAGCATACTGTACATGTACATTTATCATGTGGAAACTTACCGTGCAAGTACACATTTCGATAATTACAAACAATTTTTCTGCCTTTCCTAGCTGAGTGGTAGACGTGCTCACTGGAATCGGGCATCTTGTAATAGTTTGAATCAGATTTCATTTGCACTGCCATCCATCACTACATTGTGAAGTTCACAATATTACTTCTATTATGAATTTCAACAGTGCACATCTGAAATGAAACTCATTCAGAATCACCCTGGTTGGTATCATCTGTAAAATATATCGGTAGTGTACTGACCAGTAATTGAAATTTTACTGCGGTACTCCAAACTCAAACCAATGGTACATATTGTGATTATTAATAGGTCGTGGGTAGTGCAAAGACAATAATGTGAATGCGTTGGCCACATTCAAGTCTTGTCGATCAAACATCATGCATACATACATGTAGTATATGTGCATGTATACCGATACATTTATTGCTTTGTGCTAGGACGTTGACTGTTGAGGTGAAGTTGTGTCCGACAGGTGTAAACACTGGTACTTTCTTAATTGTTTGCACTTCTTTTGGAAGAGCCTTCATTTGATTGACTTGTTTACATGTAATCTACATGATTTTCTTCACAACTTGGAGTGATTCCTCTGCCAAGGTAGCCATCAAAGTGGCGAATTCCAGCTTCTTTCTCCTATCACATCCATAAGCTCCATAAATGTTGCTGGTGGTCGTATGGCTTTCTTTTTTGTCATGTTCACAGAACTAAGATTTTTACCGTGTATAGATGAACACGGACTGTATACAGGTGCCCACTTCTCCGTCCTTGAAAAGGACACCAAATTATGGATCAGTTTGCTGTGAAGTAAATTCTGGAATGATTTGTTTACAGATATGACGGATCATGGTGGATCCTTCTTGGAGCGGCTCTTGGGATCATACCGGTATATTGACTTCATGTGAGGTAAGCAGAGTCTTGGTAATTAGGTGAAACTCTTTCTCTGAAACTACCTAACGAGCTTTAAATGCTTGCTTTGTCTTCATCCGAGTGAAATTTATACCCAGCAAGAAATGAGACCGAGGGGTACCCCCCCCAACATGTCCAATCCCTATACTCATTCCAGACTATTGTTACTTAACGCATCCCCCCAAGATGTCTGAAAGGAATTCCCCAGATTCCTGGGAGACAATGACCAGCACAAAGCAGGGGGGGGGGTTCTCTCTGTCTCATACCTTGCTGCATATGGTGAAATTTGCACCTACAGCAAACTGGTGCCGGTATGGGCATCATTCCCCTCATCACCCCCATCCCTACCCCCATGGCCTGAAGCCTCTCCTGCCAGTCAACATTCCTTTACCTATTGTGTCATGTTCAATTATTTCTCATCAGCCTATATGTCCAGTTCTCCTAACTTCCTGACCCCACAAGCACAACAGTCTGCACTCCAAATCTCCCTCACTGGGCCACACTTTTGAACAATGTACACAGGGCCCTGCTTGATTGTCATGCAAATGAAGCCAAAAACCCACAGTATTGATCCAAGTCCCTCTGGCTTTTGTCCACAAAGCCCCCCTGCACCCCCACCGGAGTGAGTGAATGGTACAGCCCAGTCCGATCCTTTGTGCATTGAGTGCTTGGCTTTCTAGCCCTCCTATTGCTGAGGGAAAAAAAACCAAGTGCTGTTTATGCATGGTTTCTACTTGACTCTGTGGATAAATTTTGCCATCTCCCGGATATTCTAACCCCGTTTTTCCTTCCCATGTAAGTATTTTCTCCACTTTCATGACTTTCCTAACTAGTTGTTATCCCCCTGTTATGCAGTAGAGGAATTGTGGAAATTTGGTGAGGGGTTGGATCACATGAAGGCATGGTTTTTTGGGTGAGAATGTTAACATTTATTTTTGCCTGTGTTGGACGTACGCGTATGTGTGGAGTGCAGTGTCTGTCACACCATGGTCACACAGTCCATTCTGTGGTCATGGGGTGCCATTCCAAATGCCACTCACTCGCACACACTCTGAATCAGGCAGGCAGGCAGGGCTTTTGATGGCTTGGAGTTGGAGTCCTCGTATCACTAACCCCGGCAGGAAATATTGCAGCTTGAATCACAGAGGGGATTAGCTTGATGTGTCAGGATGCTGACTGAAGCCAGTTCGTGGGAATTTGATCCTGCCGGGAGATGCCGCCTTCCCTGTTGAGTTTAATTTTGGCTATCTTATTTGCAGACGTTGAAAGGACTATGAACATGGTGAGGTGCGGGATTACAGTAAGATTACATACTGTACTGGTGGTGGACTCATGAAGACATGATACTTGATTGTCACAAGTACCTTATAAAAAAGTGCTATTTTTTGGCCTTTAAACTGCCAAAGTTCCGCATCATTACATGCATGTACAGGTACATGCACAGATTAATGTGTAAGCATGCATTAATAATCACACCAGCTCTGACATTCAATGAAACTCTACAGAATGAAAGCAGCACAGTGATGTCTTTTTTATGAGTAATTTATAATATTTATACAATTTCAATGAAAGTCGCTACATCAAAACGGAAATGACTAGATATTAACCCGTGAAACCTGGTCT